CTTTGCACGCCTTCCTGTGTGTGATGGGTCTGCTCATGTCTCTGAAGTAGCCCTCTTTACAGTAGTGGCAGTGTCGGCCGGCCGTGTTGTGTCTGCAGTTCATACAGACTCCTCCGCTCTTCCGGCCTGAGAGTTTGAACAGCTCCATATTAAACCTGCACCGCCGGGCATGCAGGTTACAGTTACACGCTGCGGAGAGAGGAGACAGAGGTCATTACTGTTGGTGGTGTTAGTTTCAGCAGTACTTCTGCATTTGTTTATCTGTAAGGCTACAATTCTACTGTTTTAGAAATGGTTGAAAAGAAGCGATTTTGTTCCCTTTAACATGAGAATAAAGCAATGGCAGAATTCAGAAAACAAGCGAATTGAGACATGGTGACATGGCACTGGCACCACTAGAGGTCAGTGATGAGTCATGTTTGTTTATTTGAGGTTTGTTAAAGGTGATTTTAGAGGCCCACAGTGAGGGATGTTTTCAAAAGGATATTAGGTTGAACTGATATCGATCGACATTAGACTGCAACAGTAAGGAATCAGGTCACTGATTGAGTGTCCAGGAGTTTTACAGGGCTGAGATGGAAACCATTGGTGGTCATCATCCTCGCTATAGTGCTGTCTGAGGGCATAAAGCTTGTTAGCTGCCCCTCACCTAAGCAGGCCCCCCTAAAACGAAATTCTGGCTACACCACAGTGTGTGTGTGTGTGTGTGTGTGTGTGTGTGTGGAGGTGGGGTGACCAGACTGTTATTACTGGGCCAATTTGTATGGAATCCTGTAGCTAAGGAACCACTGCCCCACATACCATCTGATACTGTGCGTGTGCAGGAAAAGGCGGTGTAACTCTGAGGGCACTGTGAGCTAAAGTCAACATGCTGAGATTACTGCAAATTCAACTGCAGAACCGCCTGCAGGTACATGTGTGTGGGGGTTGGGAGGGAAGTCGGGGGTCCAGTGCATTTTTCAAAATCAATTTCTAAATGAATGACCAAATGCTGACCACTTTACATGGTGCTACTTTTGTAAAGGTTAAATGAATTTGAACATACACACTGAATTTCACTTAAACCTGAAATGATCTTGAGCTGTGTAATGTAACACTGGTGTGATCAAACCTTCTGTCTACAGGGATCAAAGTGCACTGATGGGGCAAAAACACAAAACAATGTACAGATAAAGAATGTAGGTAAAATGATACTATATTTAGATGCTCAGTCTGTCTTTAACTTTCAACTAAATATTTATTAAACGCAACTGAACTTTAGTTTTAAGGAAGTTTAGTGTGAAATATTCTATTAAATCTGACCCTAATCCTAATCCTAACCTCAAACCAAAACCTACACCTACTCCTAAACCTACACTCTCAGAAATAAAGGTACTAAACAGTCACTGGGGTGGAACCCTCAAGGCTCCATCTCAGTACCTTTAGTCAGGGAACATAACTGAGCCATAATCCACTGAATGATATGTTCTAAGCTGTACTGACTCCACACACCCCGTCTCGTCTCCAGGCTTTTATTTTACTGTTCTGTTTAAAACATTCGGTTATGAAAAGGTACAAATACGAACTTTTCACCTGGAGAAACACTTATTTAAGGTTCACAATCAGACCTTAAAACCACTGTTGGAGCTTTGAGGGAACATTTACACTGTTTGTACCTTGATGAACAACTGAGTATCACCAGAAAGTTTGTTAGTAATGTAAGTATCTATAGATCATCTATAGGGGAGCATCCAAATAAAGCATGACCCTATATTGAGAAATACATTTTTAAACAAATTCAGTAAGCCATGTGTAGTATAGACATATGTTTTCCTCTCAGTGGGGTTGGGACAGGGCAACTTGTTCTCTCTTCATTTTCTGGCAGGCCAAATCAAACATCTTCATGGGTCAGCTTTAGGCAGCTATGATGTAAAGCGTGGGTCACCAAAACTCCTCCTGGATCTATTTTCCTTCAGGTTTGTCCTCCAACCCAAATCCATCAGATGTGGTGGATCAGGGTTGGAGCTAAAGTCTGCAGGGAGGTGGATCTGCAGTTAGTGACCACGGATGTAAAGCCTCCTAAAGTCCAGTTGAAACTTGTTTGGAATTCTGCTACAACTGCCTCATCACTGAAACAAGCCTCATACAACAGCTGATCACAACACAAACAACACATAATCACAATGTAATTTAATCCAGCTTATTGATTTCATTCAGCATATCATGGGCAAGAAAACAAAACAGAAGAAAAATAACACAGTTTATTTTCTGGTACCTCGTTATCTGGCCAGCTAAATTATCGCTGATTTGAACCTGTCAGCTGTTTGAATTGCTCCATGTTTCAGGGTTTGTTCTGGTTTGTTAGAGGATGTTCAGCTTTTTAAACACAGCGTGTGCTTAACGCAGGGCGGTTTTAGTGGCTGAGAAATGCATTTGATTGACAAGTAGGTGAAGATGAACGCAAAAGCCTGAGGTGATTAACATTGATGAAGTCTAGATAATATTTGTATTATGTTGTATCAAATAACCTAAAATTAACATGCAAATTGTGTAAATGCTGGATAAAACTTCACTCTCTGGAGTCACATGAACATTTTAAACTCTAACCACCTCCACACAGCCTGACACTGCTTTATTTGATTTTATTTATTTTTTAATATGATTTTGATATGTTTTAGCTATGTCTCAGCTATTGTTTTACTTTTTATTATTATTTTTATTCCTTTTATTTGTTTTATTATTGTCAATTTATGGCCTTCTATTTATTTTTATTTAATTAATTTGTTTTTATTTATTTTGTCTTTACCTGATCTGTTACTTGTTAAGTTACTATATTGTAATTTTAATGGTTTATTGATTTAACAGTTTATTGGTACCTTTTTATTATTTAATTTTACTATTATGATTTTTATTATTTTATTATAACATTTGATTTATTTTTACTACCCAACTTCTCAGTCCCTGATCTCTGTATGGCTCGGCTACATTGTAAATGAGGGTCTCCCACAATGTATTCCGAGCTTAAGATTTTAGCCAGAATGACATAAAACAGGAAAAATACCAGCTACTAATCTGATTAAATAGTGAGATAATCAAATGCACTCAGATCTGATTGGTTTTGCGTTGTTTAATATAAATGTCTGGTTCCATGGCAACAGTTTCACACAACTCACAACCTGCAACTAATTTCACTGCAAAGTCAGTTTAACACACACCCCCCACACACACACACACCACACACCACACAGCTGTAAGTATTTCACTCTTTTCACACATTCAGAGTGGAGGAAGTTCAATCTCCCTCACATTCCTCATTAGCATCAGAGAGAGAGAGAGAGAGAGAGAGAGAGAGAGAGAGAGAGAGAGACGGAGAGAGAGAGAGAGAGACGGAGAGTGAGAGACGGAGAGAGAGTGGAGTTTAGTGGGTTTACTCCAATAAAGAGTTTATGAGTGTGTTTTGAAGTATTCAGAGGGATTCCTGTGTGTGTGTGTGTGTGTGTGTGTGTGTGTGTGTGTGTGTGTGTTTGTGTGTGTGTGTGTGTGTGTGTGTGTGTGTGCTGTAAAGAATCTGGATGTTGTTCAGATGATTGTGATTAATTAGGCTGCAGTGGATTAACATAATTAAAATCATTAACATATCAAAGCATCACTAAAACAGTAAAACTCCATTACACACACTGCCTTTAGGCTACGACAGAGTTTACACACACACACACACACACACACACACACACACACACGAAATTTCAAATGACCTCAAACACACAGACAGACAGACAGACAAAGAGACAGAAAAATACACAGAAAGACACTCAGACAGAGAGACAGACATTTAGATGGAGACACTCAGAGAAGAGAGACACTCAGACAGAGAGAGAGACATTCAGAGACACTCCAGAGACACTCAGACGGAGAAAGAGACAGATACTCAGAGACAGACATGCAGACATAAAGACAGACCAAAGGACAGAGAGAGAGAGTCTCAAAGACAGAAACTCAGAATGAGAGACAGACAGACACTCAGACTGACAGACTGTTCAGTAGACTGGAGGGTTTTTTGCTCTAGACATATTTTCTCTGCCGGAGCTCAGCAGGTTTTAATTAGATCCTCTAATTTATTCATTACCCTTTAGGTCAGAATGTTTACTTAATTAACACACACACACACACACACACACACACACACACACACACACACACACACAGATAATGAACTAAATCTGGTGTGTGAGTTTGAAATTGGAAATTGTTTATTGTGCCTCAGGATTATATTTTTGTATGTACACATGTGGAGAGATATTATCATATTAATACACCTTTATTTAACATAGAAAACAGCTGAATGTTGTTCTGTCTGTAGTTCAGCTGATGTCCTTAACCTTATGTGAGGAAAGCATAAGCTTTCCACATAATTTAGTATAACAATTACAGAACACTAACATCTCTTATCTTACATTAGATGATCAATATTTGGAAGAAAACTGCCAAAAACACACTATTATCAGTTACTGGCCAAGCAATAACAGAACCCGCATCACTGCATTTTTAAAAATAACAATTAACTTCAAATCCAAGAATTTCAGATGAATGTCCTTAGCTATCAAGTTCCCAAATACCCATAATTCCCTAATTCCCAATTTCTCAGCCCCAAAATGTTCAGGTCACAAAGGCGCAGCCTTCATATACCTAGTACTCATTTTATCGCTTTCAAATACTCAATGCCAAATCAAAATACCATATTTCAGTATACAGCCTCTAAATACCTTATGTCCAAATATCTAACCCTGAATACTCAGTACTCAAATACTCATCCCTTAAATACCCATCTCCAAGTTTTCATTTACACAATACTCCAAAATATCATCCTCTATCCCCAAAAACTTTGAATCCCATAAATCCCCAGTATTCAGATATCCAGCCCCTAAATACTCAGTAGCTACATGCTATACATGTCACTTCCTAGACACCTAGTACCCAAATAGTCCCACAATACCCATTTTCAAATGCCCAGCACCAGTACCCAAATACCCAGTACTCAAATATCCTGTCCCAAATTCCATACATCCAGTCTTCAGACCCCTAGTATGCATTACCCAACCCCTAAATGCTCAGTATCTGTACTTGTACCTATCCCCAAAATAAAATACTCAGTAGCCAAATTCTACATACTGAAACCCTGTACTGGAGTCTCCAAATACCCTGTACCAAGA